ATATATACCAGTATCCACTTTTACAGTCACCTCAGCCCCACGATTGAAGTTGTAAGCAAATTGTTTTGATTACACACCTCTAGATGACCGAAAATGGCATTCAGATACTGTAAAATATAGGCCTACTAGTGTTCAAAACGTGGTCATGTATAGAGGGTAAACCGTATTTTTTACATAATTTGTATTCTGACAGTAGACCTACAAGCGTATAGGCTAATACAGTACATTATCATTTGAACTGTTATTCAATACGAAGACACGTCAGGTCGTGCAAGTTAATGAAAGTTTCTAAAATTTAAAAGGGCTGTTTGAAAATTGTACAAACGATATTGATTGGTGAAATATCTGTCCGGTCAAACCCGGCCAAGCAGGACCGCTTTCTATGGCCTTGCAATAGCACATAGTCCTTTAGAAACCGTTGGTATGTACGTTTAAGAAAACAATAGGTCTAGGTGGCTAGGCCTACATTAAAAATCAGATGTTTTCTCTTGATTTACTTCCCAACTTGCTACCAAAAAAGATTAATAATGACAGGTTAAGTCTTCGGACCCCCGTAAATATGCTTGGTGTGTTTTATACCTGAAAAATAAAGGCCCAACCAAAAATTACATGTGTTTCACCCGCCATGTTAGTTCCAAAGCGTTTTAGTCTAAGCCCTCCCCTTATTGGGACGTATGGATAGTGATCAGGCGAATTGTTAACATTGTCAATTACTATCATATTATGCCGTGTCAGATTGAAAAATTCCTTATATCCAGATGCTAAATCATTTTTTATAACAGTTTCGAAAAAATAATTATGAATAAGTTGAAACTTCCGATAAAATATCAATACTCTATAAACATAACGTATCTATGCTGACAATAGGCCTATTAATACATCAGGCCACATGATAAAAGTATACTTTATTATACTTTCATCATTATACAATTGAGGGATAAATGATTCCTGGTTAAAATTCATTCATTTTCTCCTTGTGTTTAGGCCCGTGGGAAACATTTTATTATTGGTCTGGCCAACGAGAAGAATTCATATGTTATTTGGTGTGAAAAAATACAGTGTACTATTGGGAAATGGTAGAAAAAATGTTTGCATATATTTATGTTCCAAGATTTCTTTATTGTACATTATTATACTTTCATCATTATACAATTGAGGGATAAACTCTAAACCGTTTTTTGGTAATGCTAAAATAAGTGTACTACATTTAAATTTAGAATTCACTACCAATCCTTATCATTAACATTGCTTATTATACCATGAGCGGCGCCAGGATTTGCCCGACGGGGTGTCCAAAGTCCCCGACGTGGGAGGAGGCTGATGTCTCCGTCGAGAACAAAGTGGGCGTGGTCGGGTGTCGCTCAAAATCTTTGTAATTGTGGTTTATTTTTCCCCACGGGGGACGCCTCCCCGACGGGGTCTGTAGCCCCTAGCCCACCCGACCCCCACCTCCAGTAGCACCGCCACTGTATTATACACAATACAAGTATATGTGAACTACTATTTTAATTTAGTCTTCCATGAAAATCGTACTAAGAGAGGGCGCCATTGATACAACCTTTGTCGTCATGATGTTCGTTTGGCAGTGTAGATATAAAATGGCTCCAGCACAAGATAATCTGATGATCATCACAGAACACTTCCATTTATCATTATTACAACTGTCACTTGATTAAGTTATAACATACGTCATTCTAAAACGTACATTTTATACTAATTCCTTAATAGGCCTAATAAGTTTATTGTAATTTATTATCCATGTGAATTAATTACCAATTGTTGCACACTTTTCTAGTCACTATAATATTTATAGGGATTAATGTTTAATAATAATAATAATAATAATAATAATAATAATAATAATGATGATGATGATGATGATGATGATGATGATGATGATGATGATGATGATGATGATGATGATGATGATGATGATAATAATGATGGTGATGATGATGATGATAACCCAAATAACCCAAATAATGTCTTCCTTGTAACTTGGTTAAACTTTCAAGAAAGTTTCACTCGGATCACTTGAGCCGTTTTTTAAAATATCTGATCTAGGATGTTTTCCCTTGAATGGTCCTCATAGCCACACCCTCTACTCGGGATCGTTTCATCCTTGAAACTTGGCTAAACTTTCCCGAATGTTTTATTCAAGTCAATTGACCCGTTTTTGATATATCTGGTGCAGACTGCTCTTAAATCACTTTAATTGGTTCTCACATGCACACCCCCCCCCCTTAGATTGACACTTAATATTAGTAGGCACATTCTTCATATATGGTCTATGCTTCGGCAAAGCATGGAGAAGTTATAAGCTTGGGAAGTGACCAAAGTGCTGGCCAGGAAAACTTTGCAAGAAAAAAGAAAAAAAAATAAACAGATCAAAATGGTTTTTCAGCTACTGCTGGGAAAATCTAATAATAAATATTTGAGAAAAACGTATGGGGACATATGTTTTTCTTAAATATGTATAGGCCTATTAGTATTAATATCTTTAATCAATCAACACCAATGGAGGCATATCTTCATAACAAATTATATATACATATATATATATATATATACATATATATCTGCTTATTGTGATCAATACACTCTTAAAATGTTAGTTGAAATTAGAATCCACACGTTGCGTTGTTTTTACTGTAATTACTCAGCCAATATGAACACCAACTTTAATATCATGAACTACTGTATATACGCTTTGTGCGCCTCGAGTCTATATCTATACATCTCAAATGATCGAATAAATTTGTCGTGTATTGTCTGCTGCCCTCACATAATCATAAAAACCATTCAACTTTATCTTTTCAAGTGAAAACTTGTTGAAGTAAATTTAGATCAATTGTTACTACAGTACTGTGTAATTATAGACATAATCAATTAGTCACTTCTCGGAATTTCTTATTATTTTATTTCAGACAATAAGCATTTACTGTATCAACATAATATCACATGACTTCAGCAATGTACAATTATATCATCTGTAAGTCTTCAACAGCTAACTACAATACAGACAAACAACACATACGTCCGTGTTTTTTTCATTCAAGGTCTTATGTATAAAGGTATTAATTATCAATTAGTAAACTAAAGTACTTAGGCCTAGTTCAGACTAGGTGGATAAACCCGGCTCAACTTACCGGGTTTATTCACCTGCCAATCTGAACTAGGTGGCTTATTTCAAGCCGGGCTGTGTTCCTATACTAACTAGGCCTGGCGCACCACCGTGTTTAACTTTTCTAAGCCGGGCTTTAATCGTTGCGGGGGGGGGGGGGTCTTGCATTGACTTTGGGTGACGAATGACCAATCAGCATTCAATTACCTACGCTGTGAGCGAGCGTACGTTTCGCGAGCAATGTTTTGAAACACGTTTCCTGGTTACGGTTCATTATTATGCAAATTCTCGCCTGGCTAAACCCGCTAGTCTGAACGCCTGGCAAAGTTAAGCCGGGATTAACGTCGAGTCGGGCTTAAGTCAAGCCTGGCTTATCTCCAAGTCTGAACGTAGCCTTAATAGATCTTTTCGGCGTGTTAATCAAAAACTTAACAGCAGGCCAATCAGAACAGGGCCAGAAATACGCGCGCGTCTCACACATATACGTGTTGCTCCACAAACGCACATGTTTGCGTATGTTTTTAGCCTGTTGTTATGTGGGAACTTAGCTACAATATCCAATGGGTGGTGCAACGGAAAGGTCCATTATAGACAAAATAGTGTGGTTTTATTTTCCAATAATGCTTAACATGAAATGATGGACAGAATCATCTATCCATTCAAGTTTTGCGAATAAACATAACCGCACGAATGAATAAATGTAATGAAAGAAATAGCTAGCAATCCACAATCACGGAATCCTGGTTTCCATTAAAAAAAAAAAAAAAAATCGGCACACGCTATCGCCGAATCAGGGAGCGCTCCCGATTGACGCAGGAACAGCTACGCAGTGCAACAAAAAAAAAAAAAAAAAAAAAAAAAAAAAAAAAAAAAAAAAACAAGAAAAAAATATTGTAGCGACAGTGTAGCGATTGTATGGAAACCAAGCTTAACTAAGTTGTGAAAATTGAATTTGTGCTAATCTTAAAGTACCGGTACGTGAGCCGTGGTTACGAAATAGCATATTAATCCATACTAATGAACTTACCATTTTGTACAATTGTAATATAGACGTACAATACTTATAAACCTTAAATATTAGTTATAGCAGATCTATTACCACTATGATCAAAATACAATTAGGGTTTATCAATGGATAATCAATACGAATGTACTTTTATAGATTGATCGGTGTAATAATTAAATTATGAAAGAAATGGTTAGTTAATCTGTTACTTAACAGACACTTTCATACCATAAATGATATGAAAATATGTTCACCAATATCTGCTGGTTCATATCCAGAGTTACAGGGTTAAGGAGTGGAGTTGTATAGCCTGCAGTAGTAGCTAAGATGCTTGCATTCTAATCCCAGGGTCCTGGGTTTAATTCCCGTGACAGCAGGACTTTTTCTCAAGACTAAACTCAACTCTACCCCCTAAACCTCATAAAGAGACTTCGCTGATAAAAGCATTTACATTATTTCATCAATTCAAGAGGGCCCTTGAATATCAGCCGACCTTCTAGGATACGCTGGAACGGTCATCCTCTATAAATATGGTTTAAGAAATTATAACACTTAATACCGTCACTTCTTATGATAAGAACGCTTGTATAGAAACCTCCATCTTATAATAAAAAATAAAAAAAAACCCTACAATTGTGCATTTATGTCATCAACTTAACTCTGCAGCCAATGACGGAAAGTGGAGTAAAATCGTGTACAACAAGTAAATGTATGAAACAGATATATATTATTCTATGAATGAAAGAACCACAATCATTAATTTACAATATCTATAATACAAAATAATTTAAATCGATTTTCACACACGAAAATGAAGGATTCGAAAAGCAGGACACAGTTATTGTCATGGCTATGAATTCTACTTTTTCTTTTATCTTCTTCTTTTTTTTTTTCTTTTTCGTATTGCTTTTCCTCCTACAGCGCAGACTTGATGTTGTAGATTTAGGCGCGTAGCTTCTTATTGCTAAAGGTGCAGTACAATAGTTGCATCAGGCAGCCTGCCAAAGCAGACAAACAGACAAACTGTACTTTTACAATTATATAATACTGTTTTAATTAGTACATATTATTCTAAGTAAATAGAAGTATGACTTCTTAACAGAGTTCATCAATTATCATTATCGACAATACATAATCAGTAGCGTAACAAAGATGTCTAAAGCCCTCGGCTAAGGCTGTTTCGGGTCCTATTACCCAGGGGAAAAGGCTGCGCCCGCTTCGGCGTTTGTAGGGAGTACTGTATTGGTAGGGTTTTACACAGTAGTGCTCCTTAACAAAGGGCCTTGCTTGGCTAATATATGGGACCAAAAATGTTTATAGGCCTAAATGTCTCAGGCCCTTCAAGGCATTGGGTCCATGACTTTGACCAATGAGAGCGCATAGTCGTTACGCCACTGTACATAACCATATACGCTACGGTATTATTTTTATCAGGTCTATTTTGAAACAGCGCCACCAACGTCTCTCGCAACTTTTAACTGGGCACGTCCAGCACTGAGAAAATTTCCTTTTTGCAGACACATGTGTGTGTATGTATATGTATATGTATATGTACGGTATATGTATATATGTAGGCCTATATGTGTGTATATGCATATATATTATATGTATATGTATAGGCCCTGTCTCTTATACACATCTACAACAACAGTCACAGAGCACGGTAAACACTGGTAACTATGTAGAGAGAAATTCCTAGGCCTCTGAAAATCCTCCAAGCGGTAGTTGCCAGGTTCTCATAGATTTTCATTTCAAATTTAGCGAAAATGGTGTATACAGACAAGTCATGGTTCAACATTGGAGAAAGCGCGAGGTCAAAGGACGCATAAGCCTACTAGAGCGATTACTGTAAACCAAACAAATATTATTACAATACTGTGTATCTTTAACTAGCAATTCCATACTTTACATGTCGGATTTGGATACATGTATCTAAGCAGGTTAGTTCATTCGTATTTTCATTACTATCTGAAAAAAATACCGATCGTTGCAGAAATGGTACGTGTAAACAATTAATAAGGTAGGCCCTAGCTAGGAAATATGTTATTATGATAATACTGGAGCTTTTAGGCGGCTTCTAAACTAAGTGTTTATGAGAAGAATGTAAAGATCAAATTTGCCACCTTATATAGGTATGGTTAAAAGACCAGTACAACAGCACCAACCGTTTGCGTCAATTAACTGCAGTTGTTTTTATCTTCGGTTGCATCATAGAATCGTGTAAACATCATATGGTGGGGAAATATCGGACCTTACGATTGGCTACCTCATTTATTAAGGTTCGTTCATCAATTCGTCATCCAATCAGCAGCCGTAAAGGACAGTGTTTAGAAAGTAAGTTAAGCTGCATTTCATGATCTCCATCTTCATTGTGATATTGTACACATTATCGAAAATGAATCACTAAAACGCACTATTGCACACAAAAGTGACATTATATTTGATTAGTACACATGCGAATATAATGTCCAGTAGACTGCGTTGAATATAGCGAAACTTATCGGGAAAGCGAATCTACAGACACGGTCAATAATTTCAACACCAGTTGCTCCTTTAGACTTGTGTGCAGTATCGGGAGTAACCGAAATTTGGCAAATATCTTCTTTTGTTAGCATTTGATGAACATTGCCGTTCATTCCCTGTGCAAATCGTTGCTGCTTCAGTCCATTCTGTAATAAGATAAAGTATTAACTGTCAATCAAACTAAAGACTCTGGTCTATAAGGAGACATAAACAATTTAATGTTATGTAAAGGTACGCGTAATATAACTGGTTTGGCGAAATTCCTTAAAATCGTAGGTCTAACGTGTTTAGGAGCGGCCTGGTTAAACGCTTTCTTTTCTCCGAGAATAATGGCAAGTTTCTGTCAATATTTTAAATATAGTGCCTGTTAAGAATTGCTTACACTGTAATTATTATTTTTATCAGCGAAAATTAAAAACGCCAGAGCCAGATTGAGAGAAACCTTATGTCGCTAGTTTGATCAACCCGTCCAAGCATTACATTTTTTTTGAAAACTTGGAAATACTTGGCAACCAATGTCTGGATCAGACAAGGCGAAAATTAACATACCGTGATGTGGAGACATTAAAGATATGCTCTCTTTATTGATCAAATAAAAATTGATTCAAATACAGTATTCAAATTCTAAGAGATATTGGAAATTTCACTGTTCCCTGAAATTCTTTAAGATTAAAGATTAAATTTCCATTTTGTTCAATTAGAAATAATGGAAATTAGAAATTTTGGCTTGCTCCCTGGGGACCCATGACAGCCATTAAGCACTGACATGTAATGGATACACTGTCCCTTATCCCGCCTAAATCTCATGCGAGGGTTATTCGAGGAGCAGACCAATCTGACTCCAATTAAAACCCGACACTGGCCGGGTTTAAACCGGGGTCTACACCGCAAGAAGCAGGAACATTTCCTCTCGGCCAAACGCTCAAATTTCAATTGGAAATTAAAAGAAGATAATATTTTTCCTTGCTAATAGACGCATGGATACCGTTTCTATATCAATTGCATATAATACAATTAAATTTGCTGGTAATCCATTTAGCCTAAGGAAGTTTGTAGTGAAACATCCGAACTATACGCGCCCATGAAAGATATACATCGAGAAAAGGAGTACATTTGCGAAACATCTCGGCAAAAAGTGGCAATCCTGGAAAGTCATTTCAATTCGTCTCTTATTGAAAGTAGAAGTTGTATATTTTTTTTTTAATGAGCAATTCAATGTTTTAAATACAAGTGACATGACTAAATATGGTCATGATGACAGCACATCATGACCGTATATAAGCACATTATGACTATATATGGGCATAGAACAGTTTTTTTGTCAAATAAAATGTGATAGTATGAACAGAACCTTAAGAAACTATACACTGTAACTGCAAATACCTTGAACTTTGGTTTTGAATCCTTTACGTTCTTCTTTTTTCTCGCTTGATACGATACACAAGCGAATTCTAACATGGCCGAGATAACGAAAATTAGGCACACTGACATCCAAACATCTATCGCCTTTATGTACGACACTTTAGGCAGAGAAGAATTAGCACCAGCACTTTGCGTGGTCATCGTAAGCACCGTGGTAATACCTAGCGCCACGCGTGCGGGTGAGCAGTCGGGGCTGATCCAAAACGCTAGCCACGAGATCACCACGATCAACGTTGTTGGTAAATATATCTGTATGATATAGTAGCCAATTTGTCGGTTCAGATAAAAAATGGCTTCTAAGCAAGTGTAAGCTCCTGAAATAATAATTTACAATGATTACGTTATTAAGAAGACAACCGGTATTCAATAACGCTACAAGTAGATTATATTTTCACTGCTGCCTCTCGGGCTGTCTGTCTGTTAGCAAAATTACGCAAAAACTAATAAATGGATCATCATAATTGAAATGGTACAAAATAATTAAGGAAAAGACACCATACAATTTACAGAAAAGGTCGAAGGACTAGGTAAGGGTCGCTAAAATTCGATTTTTCATCCTCGAGCATAAAATAAAATAATGGAATTGCCCCTCGCATTGGGGCAGCACTCAAGAAATCAGTGTGCCTAAATACGAAAGGCGATTCTATTATTTTCTTGAGGGTATTCTGCAGCATTTCAGAAAATAATCGTCCTGAATACGAAAGGCGATTCCATTAGTTCATTAAGGGTATGCTGCAGTTTCATACATACATGCGTATTGTCGGTACTGTATTCAGGCACAGGGCGGATGTATGCACTCTCATGAAGTGACTGCTCTAGTTATCTTAGTTACGTAATGAAATAATAGGCCAACTATTTATATTCACATTCTTCGGCATATTTGAACCGATCCAAACCTTTTTTCAAATATCTTATAATACAGTTTCAGAGATGTTTTGAATTATTCAGGATAGTTTATATAAATTGTGAACTACCATACTTTAAATTAATGTTACTCTCAGCCCGCTAGGTATAATAAGCCTAGTTCCAAAAATATTAATATTCACATTCTTTACAACATTTGAACCCATTCAAACTTATGTTTAAATATCTTATAAAACATTTTCATAGGTAGTTATCATAATGTTTTGAATTACCATGTTCAGGACAGTTTTCATAAATTGTGAGCTATGGTACCTGAAATTAATGTTACTCTCCGCCTCGGGTTATAATAGGCCTAGTTCAAAAAGATGTCACACAGGACATATGAATATAAATTGTTGCTTTTTATTATAGTTATAACATCTCTAGAGCTGCTGATTTAGTGTTTATATCTTCGAAAGAGCTTTGAAAATCCAAATAAATGTGAAACAACTAGAAGTGATTTGCATGTAAAAGCCGAAAAAGTAAGCGAGACTGCATGAATGGCATATTGATAGAATGGAGATCCAGTCACTCAAATTTCAAAATAAAATAAATTAATTAGAGAGTTCTACAAAAACAAATCACGCAGGGGCGGCGCCAAGAATTCTCCGACAAGGGGTTCGAGCTCCCCGACAAGCGGGTCTACTTTCTCCGTCGGGGAAGCCTACCCTCGCCCCCGTTGGGGAAAAAATTAATTTGTCGGGGAAAATTTAAATTTGTCCGGGATTTTTTTTTATTTAAAGATAATAAAATGTTGTGTTAATCATGGGATTCTCTATCTAAAAAGGAAGTCGGGGGTACTAGTCCACCTGTCGAAGGTGCTAACCCCCTGTCGGGTGTAGCCCCTGTCGGGAGGAGCTGGCGCACAACTGCAACAGATACGATCGCAATAGTATACAACACTTCGCACATAAGGTAGCACTGCTCGCACTAAACAGTTTTTAATCCCTAAAAGTTTTACAGCTTAGTAAGACATGCTTCATATATTGTACTTTCGGCGCTCGATATTTGATTTCTCCCCGACGACCTTGCTGAAAACTCCCCGACAGAGGGGTCCAAGCAGGAGGTCCAGAGGTCCCCGACGGGGGGTCCTTTCCCCCGGACCCCCGCCATTGTATTAGTTATTGCTTTGAATTGCGTACTAACTCAAAAATCTTCATCGTGTCATATGCGGTAAAATAATGGGGAAAGGCAACATTAGGCCTATATGAAAAGATATTAGGGCATACAGTATACGATGTGGAAGCGGTTTGACGAAGTGGCAATGGTTTGGTATCGCAAACTCGGGGTCGAGGTTTCAATCTTTCGCTGTGCACTTCGCTGGCGCCCTTGAACAAGGCACTTTATCTACATCGCTTCAGTCTACCCAATTTTATTAATGGGTACCAGAAAATTGATGATGAGAGCAACCTGTGGTGGACCAGGTCCCATCCAGGGGGGAGTGTTACACTCTCATTAGCCTCATGCTACAGAAACTAGGGATCCTCCAGTCCTATGTGCCCTAGTGGCACGGCAAGGAGTTACTTCACAGGTTATTTACTCAGTATATCACTCGTGTGTTCACGTTTATTATCTTTGTCCTGGCATTGATTAAACCACTCGTTTTAAGCTATGCGTCTTGAGTCCTGTTCCCCTGTAGTACCATGTCTTCGCTCCCTGACCCGTTGAATTCAGCCACCATTCATCAGACCCCTGCGGGACAGCTTACTCACGACTTTTGGGCATACACTGGCTCTACTGATTGGAAGGAAATATGCAGCTGCATTTTGAATTCATACCTGTCGAATACCATTTCGTGCAAGATGCCACATGCAAGTTCACAATAGAAAACGTTGGCAATTCAACATCTCCACTAATGTCGACAGGTGTACCTTCACGCCAGGTAAAAATGACATCTTCAGTTGTGTAGCCATCTGAGGATTAATAATTGAATATTTTCATATCAATTTATGCGTTGCTATAAAAAATTTTTAAAAATGTATTTTTAGCTTGAATGAATTACTCGTTATAAAAAGCGCATAGTAATTTTAACCTGTTTTCTCCACACTTAAAATTGTAATTATTGATATTAATACTATTAATAATAACATTATGCCTATTAGTAACAGTAACATTATATTTCTTGAAGGTTTGCAGTATCACTTATAATATTTTATCACTTATAATATTTTTTTTCTACACATGGTGTAGCATTAACAGATACATTGTTATTAATCTTATACTTTTTTATCATCGTTATTAATAGGCCTAATGTGTAATAATTATTATTACACATAAAGAGCGCCACCATACGAGGATTGGTTGGATTATCGACGTCTCGTCAGTCTCATATTCGTTCGAATACATACTGTTCTGCAATCACGTCCGTGTACTTTGTACTGCCATTTTGAAGGCAAATATAAAGTACAAATGAAAAGTAAGTAATGTAAGAAGTAACCTCTCAAATATGCCTACCGTATCTTTTAACTTTATGGATATCAGTGTCAATGAACTTTAAACACTCCAATTTAACGGTAAGACATGAAACATCAATATTACGGACAAGATAAGACAAATTAATATGACTGACCCGAGATAATTATCTTAAAGACCTCGGGGTGTTTTCATCTGAAATTAGTATTGCATACCTGTTAATAGCAATTAATATAACAATGTTTTTACTTACAACTTTCGAGCTGCAGGGTACACGTTTGGTTGTCCATCGGAAACTGGTGAAATTTCATCGGACATGAAAGTAGCAGGGATAACCTGGTAATGTATAAAGCGATAATCTATTCAACATATAAACTAATAATAATAATAATAATAATAATAATAACAATAATAATAATAATAATATAATATACATATATATAAAGCGATAATCTATTTAACATATAAACTAATAATAACAATAATAATAATAATATAATATACATATATATAAAGCGATAATCTATTCAACATATAAACTAATAATAATAATAATAATAATAACAATAATAATAATAATATAATATACATATATATAAAGCGATAATCTATTCAACATATAAACTAATAATAATAATAATAATAATAATAGGAGGTTATTGTTTTTAGCCATGTTCTTCTCATGCTGTCGGTGTTGCTGTCTCTTATACACATCTAGATGTGTATAAGAGACAGGGCCTAATCAAACTTCATAGAATATTTGTATTTTGTATTCAGGTGGATTTCCTAAACTCATATTGACTATAATCAGTCGCAAAGAAACAACATGACTCGAAGATCATGAACTAACGTTGTTGATCAGATTACTGTGACAACATCCATCATAACAGCAGGTGACGTTGTAACACGTCATGTTGAAGGTAATGCTTATAAGTTTAATCAGTATTCAATGGGTTCTTAAACAGTAGTTCACTGAGTGAGGATTGGACAAACAATGGCAGTGTGCCTAACTCAGCTTGAAACTGACTTTTAATTCATGAGAGGAGTCGTGTTCCGCGACATGTATGATATTTTATGTATTATTAGTAAGTAAGTAAAATTTATTACTTTCCATTAAATCATAACAAAGAAGAGAAAAATGATGATGATTTAAGAAAAGTAAACAGACTAACAGATAGAAAAAAAAATGACAGTTGAAGTACCTACAAATTAATAAACGCCAGGCCTACCTAATACTGTACAGTATATCGCCATTTGGAGACAATCGAAGCAGTTTATTATCTGTTGTTATATCGTGGGTTTCTGCTTTCTTTTCTGATGGAAAGTAAAGATCCGGGAACCAGAGGTTATCCAAAAGGCTAACATCAACTGTAACTGTATGGTTGTAGTCATTAAATTTCAGTCTCGGATCGTTCCAATTCTGTCGCATGTACAGCACCATCTCATAACTCTAAAAAATAATAAACCAAAAGCATAATGTGTAATGTAAAAAAAGAGTTTAAAAAAGAAAGAAATAATGAAAAAGAAAAACATTATTCGCCCAAATCGCCTTAAAGGTTACTTTCAGACGTCTAGAACACAACAATTTAGATTATCTCGATCATCTAGATCCCGATCGTCCCGACTTCCGCACCCCCACCCCATCTTTTTGGACATCTCTGGATCCGCCCCTGATAGCGCCTTATACCGGAGTCTCAAAGCGCTCGGGGTGTGGACTAGCTCGTAAAATAACTTTCTTCTCCCCTGAGGGTCTCTTCATGTCTGTGCTCCCCAATAAACTGGTACCAGCTACTCTCGTCTGTCGACAGAAGCGGTTGTACGGACCAGTACACTTGGGTAATCCCCCAACTGTCTCAAAAGATGTACTGGTTCTTTAAAATGCACATGAGCCAAATTATGTACACTGGGCCTACGATTTATAAGTCCTTATCCGAGAAGAATTATTCCACCACCAGAGTCATAGGCGACTGTGCCGTTCGACACACCGTCAATATTATGGCTGTAAGTCGCGGTGCCCCTGCCTTAACTGCTCGGGCATTTCGACGCTTTCAAACAAAGTTAGCCTAATACTGCAAAACCTCGAATTGAAGCCCACTGGACTTAATCTCGATATGAAGACCTATCTCGAATTAAAGCCCTCCTTTTTAGTTTGCAAAGCCTCGAAAAGAAGCCCATCTCAAAAAGAAGTCCATGGGCTTCTTTTCAAGATAGCATAGGCTTCTTTTATTACAGTCACATACACTGTACATGAATTTCAGAAAACAAAATAAATTAAATACAAGCTTGGTTTATACAGTAGCTAAGGTGATTTAATGCCAGTTAAATACACTCCATAATACAGACTGATGATACAGTGGCCTTATTTATTGTTTTATAGTACAAATTCACAAAATTTACAGAATTCATTTTGAAAAGAAGCCCCCACCCCTCTTTACTTTGCAAAAGTAGTCTCGAAAAGAAGCCCATCGTGAAAAGAAGCCCATCTCGAAAAGAAGCCCATCTAAAGTTCGCAAAGAAAAGAAGAAGCCCGGGGCTTCAATTCGAGGTTTTACGGTATTACAGTATTATTTTTTGTTAGAATATCGCATCCTAGGCCTACCTTTACAAATATTTCGATTAACTTGGAAATTATCGAATGACATTCTTATTAAGGTTTAAATTACTCTGAATGTTTATGGTTTGTTTTCAAGAAGTTTTCCCTTTTCCATAATTTCATGATCTACATTCAAATTTCAAATGAACAATTTCAACTTTAATGTTATTTTTTTTTCATTATTATTTCGCAGAACATCGTATTAACGAGAATAAAGATGATCGACAACGCATACTTCGTTGTTTAGCTTTGATTACGGTAACGTTTGCCGTATTAATCATGTTTGCAAGATATAAGACATGGGTATTATATTTTAGCCTACTTTAGAGTACTACTATTATTGTCTTCTTGATGAAAAAATATTGTGCAATAAATTCCAATTTTGGAACCTACATTTAATGCTAAAGACATAATGAATTACTTCGCTTCTATGAGATGCAAAGAAAATCAGATTGCTAGGGTACTGTATTGCTACTGAAACACACTTAAATTATTTCTAAAGTTGTTCCATTTTTGTTTTATATGCTTGAGGGACACGAGACAAATGAAAATGAGCGCTGACGTCGGCAATGACTGAGAATGTAAATGAAAAGGACATTGTTAGACGTTTTGTAGTGCACTTTCAGTCGACTTTGTAAATTGGATTTAGGGCAAGTTCGCAAAGCTATCGGTGCATTGATCACCGAATCGAATTACCGTTGTAGTATTTCGCATTGCATTACATTTTTAATAAATGAGGAAATACAGTTCAAACACTATGTAAACTGAGATGTAAAGACATACGTAAACAAAGGCTCTAGTTTATGCAGTGAAATCGACAATTTATTTTGATACAGACATATTTCTTTTATTCGGTCCTGTTTAGACAGATATATATATATATATATATATATATATATATATATATATATAATGAATAAATGTAGAATTGTAATTATCATTATTTTTATTATTATTATTATTATTATTATTATTATTATTACTATTATAATAATAAATTTCATTTCATGTTAAACCAATAAAAAAATTAATTAGGGTTATATCTCACCAATATCATTCAATCCGCATTCTCGGATATCAATACACTTGAAGTTAAATGAAGATATTTGATCATTAGGCATATAATTGTTATTACAGTTATTGTTTTGAAAGTTGGTATAAAAGTTCTGCACAAGATGAAAATTGTATATTCAACAATCTACGGTAGTTTTAATCATATTATGTGTATGTATGTCAGCTGAAGGTAGTATCGTGTTTAGCTCAATACGAATGTCGTACTTATAGCCTGAAACCTCTACATTATCCACCCCTCATTTAAGTAGATATCAATAACACGGAGTTAAAGGCGAAAGCAAACATAATTATTAGACTCTAGTAATGGGGACACAGGTGTATACTCTTAAAATAGCACGTTTGAGTACAGAATGCTTACATACAAAACAGCAGAGTGTTTATTAAACAACACGTATGACTTCCACGCGTGTAAACAGGGTATCCAATGTGATGGCCATGGCGGTATTTAGTGTACTATATAAGATTCAAAATATTTTCTAAGCATTCCACGATCTTCAAGGCGTATAAAGTTCGCTTATATAATAATTGCAATGCCCCTCAAACATCTCTCTCCCATCTATACCGCTCTCGTCCCTCTTAACGTGCTAACTAGAACATGTGATACGTAAACATGTAGACCCAATGACCAGGAAAAAAATGCGTTTTGTAACCAACACGAAAGGCGGTATATAAATGCTCATGCGTTAGCATGTCATTATCAAGTAATATAAAAAGGAATGGATACCAAGAATGTCAACATTATGCCAATGGCTAGCTAGCGAATGCCCCAATGAAGATTAAACTTTGCGAAGTGTCAATCAAATTTAGCAACTGACCAACCAGAACGTCTTATAGCCAAAAATGCGCGATAGTCCCCCAAACATAGCAACAATATCCAAGAGGCGGAGCTTAGAAGAAAGTTTCACTGATCTACTACCGATACTTGTACTTGTCTTGTAAGAGGGTGTCGTACCTATAAACTTGCTATATTTTTTATGATATAAAAATACTTACCATTGTTGTCTCCGTGAACGAATCTATACTGGAAATGAATACATCGCAGGTAACATTCACTGGGGGTCCTAACAGTTAAAAGAAATATAAAGACGTCATTAAAAATACACTGACGTCATAAAACCACTGAAACAGCCAATACGTACAATCAAATTTGTTAAAATTATACGTAAATGCGTTTTACGCCTTTATTAAAACTTACAGAATCTTTAAACTTCTGAATTGATTTTTTATATATATAATTAATAAAAAGTGTCACATCGGTGAATTCTTGCAAAGATCATGATGAATTAGTTTTTACACAAAAGCCGGATAACTAAATGTTTGAATGAATACATGCAATATAGTATTCGCCAGATAGCGGTTCAGATGAATCTTAATAGCTTTAATGTTAAGAGGTTATGTACAGTAACAGATGATGAACATGAGGTTGATGATAATATATACGCGACTCGTATATTACATTAACGTTCACTCGTTCTTCACGTTTGCTGCGTTTACTCTGATTATAAAATTGAATGCCGACACCATTTTACTGTAATTTTCTTTGACAAAAAAACTGTTGTATGCCCATATATAGTCATAATGTGCCAAAATAATATGATCATGATATGATGTCATCATGACCATATTTAGGCATATCACATGTTGTTTTATTTTCAAACAAAAGTTGATAGTCTGGACGGGACTTAAAACCTGACCTTTGTCTGCATTGCTCGCTTATATTAATCGTTGTATAGTGTTACTTGAATGTTTTTATTCATTTTTTTTTTTTTTGGTAGATTTCTTTATACAGTTATACAGTAAAATATAGGCCTGATATATACGCGTGTACACAATTAATGACATAATAAAAATAAAATCCGATGCTTCCACGTACACGTCTTGAAGATAATAATATTAGATACTTTACAAAAATGAAACGAGGCTCATCTCAGGCCTGGGCACATAAAGTTACATTTTAGAAGAATACCGTAGTATAGCTGGAGTGGCAGGATATCTAATAAATCACAGTCCTAATGTAAAAATAAATATATGATTCGAGAAACAAGAGACGGACAGTGAAACACAAAATATTACATGAGAAGGAATTCTAACTAACGCCAATATATTAATCTGGAAGAGAAGATGCGAGTGAAGGGTGGGGAGGGGGAGGTTAATGCGGGCGTGGGTGTGGGCATTTGTGTGTTTATGGTGACTAGATTGCTACCGTGTTTCATTACCTACAGGTGTAGCTAATATGAAGGTTTTGGGACCGAGGTTTTTGTGGTCTTTAGCAGCTTTGGTCTCTAATAGAATAATAAAATAAAAGACATTTGTTAATTTGGGACCACAGAAAAGTGGTCTTTAATTAGAGGTAGTCTTTTATTGGAGGGAGACCTGTACAATCTCCGGTAAGCCATTAGTATGCGCATCGTTTAATTTATCACTTTACCATAATTACTGACACTGTTAAAATTAATAGGCCTAATGCCATATGTATAATTAATCGCATATCATTTAAAATAATTATTCAATTTGGCTAATAAATCGCTTTACAGTTTTCAATTGTATCCCAGTGCCCACTGGCTCTATTAAAGGAGAAGTTTAGCAAATGTTAAAGTTTTAAAACTGATTTAGTGTACTGTATTTTTTTCAGCAATAACATCCCATTTTTAAAGTTACGAATCTCGTGCGCGCTCGTAACGTATGACGCTCTCAATAATGTATTTTTTCTTAGTTTTGAATAACATTATTATTATATATAGGCTAGTTATATAATAGACCAATATGAAAATCATATCACTATCATTAAATTCTATAAATCCGAGTGAATTTACGATGTATTTCTATTTTTTACCGGTACTATATAAAGTTTTTGTTATATCAATTTTAACTATCACTGTCATAATATAAAAAATGATGAATATAAGACTATATAACAATGAGGATTTTTTTTTAAAACATGGATTTGTTTAAATGCCGAGTTAACGAGGTACTTACCAAAAACAGAAGGAGCTGTATAAAAACTAACGATTAAAGCGTATTGTTAGTGATAAACAATTTCCGTTCCATCAGTAATCTAATAAATGATTTCACAACAACTAAAAGCTGTCATCTTTTATATTTCAGAGGTTAAAATGAATTTCTGTTTTCATTTAAAAATCATCAATTGATTTATTGATTCATTCATAATATCATTGATATGGATCTAGATAACGTGGTTATTGAAGAGGCTTCATCTGGATGTCTGTTTTTGTTTAAGTTCGTCTATTGATGAATGAGAAATTGTTCGTGTAGACCGCTAATCGTTAAAGCCGGACACTCACTGCGAACGACGGTCGTCAGCCAACGTGATTTTATGGCTGACGACGCGCGCGCATCGGATTGATTTTAATGATGATCTGTTTCCGAAAATCCATAAATGCCAACTCAGACAGCGTCGGGCGACGCAGCCCGACCCGATTTATCGTCGGGGACAGTCTTAAGCCGTCGTGAGAAATATTAAACATGTTTAATATTCTACGACGCGACTGCCCCCGACGCACACCATCGCGTCTGCGTTTAACTCACACGGACCCGACGCGACAACAAATCGCGTCGGGCTGCGTCGTACGACGCTGTCTGAGTTGGCCTTAAGACGCGCACAGTGAGTGCCCGGCCGGCTTTATTCATGCATTACCTACCGTCAAAGTTAGGCCGCACACGTTTGTCATAATGTTTGAATATCTTATTTAAAAACTTGCTATGCTGTGTACTCGAATCATTCCCCTTGGCTCTGAAAAAGAGAGAAAATTATACAATAATCGGGATTCTATAGTTACTAATGTACTATTATTATATGCCTATCACCTCCAATGACTGTATGGCAGTGTTCCATTTCGATATGGTAAAAACAGCCAACATGTGTGGTGTGTGCCAGAGCATAACCTTCCATGTGTTTTGGCTTTCTAGATGAGGAACAGTCGATTTATCGGATAAGGCCTAGCATTAATACTCTAAACTGCCACCGAATAAAAGCTCTAGTTTAATGTTATATCAACCAGAATTTAATTATTTGATCTATCAATAACCTAATTTAGCGCAGGGGATTTATAGGAAACATTAAATTGCCTGAGCTTTAACAGTAACGCTTTCAAATTTTCTTTTGAAACTATTGACAAATTGGAGCTATGTATTCCAATGGTGTGGAAGAACATTCCAGAATAACAGTGTTTATCAGATTGTCAGTATGAATAATGTTAAACAGAAATAGGCTCGACACAGCGCAGACGGTTGTCCGACCGACTTCCACGGAGCACGCACCGCGACGAGGCCGCACTGCATGCAACGGATCGTTTTTAATGGTAATCCACTCTGTCTATCTGCCAACGACAACCTGCAGACGGCGTTGCCTCGTCAGGCGCTTACTGAGAATGGGGATGAATTCATCGGCCAGTGGCCCTACGCTCGACGTAGGCCTACAATGTACGACCAATGTGTTCTCAGCATTATTTGAACGAATCCTATATATAGTGATTTTTCTATGTTCTGCTACCTCATTACTACATCAATGATCTAAAAGTGTCTCTGAGTCCGGCAGACTATTACACTCTATTATTAGCAGGCCTACGAATGTGTTAGATGGAAGGAAATTGTCTCTTGATTCAGATTAGTTTTACTGTGATCATCATATTAAACTTAATACGTTTCAATTCCTATAGTATCAAATCAGTAATTGGTGACAGTTTTTGGATGGAGGTGGAATAAAATAGTAGGCCTACAGCTCACATTTTCCCGGACGGTCGGCAACCTACAATCGACAACTGTGACTCTGGTGAGCGAAGGATTTACTGAGTGCAATAAATCGGCTTCATATTCTCAACATTAATTACCAATGGATATACAGAAGCACAACATACAATCATTGTAAAAAATGAAACAGCTATAATTTCATACGACAAACGCGCTCTTATTTCTTCTTATGCCATTCGGTACGTGATTCAAGAAAGAATGATTATTCAAAGTGAACTCAGTAATCTAATTTAGTACGATAGCTTATGTTTCTTGAAGATTGATTAACATCAGTTTGATTATTTATTCCAAGAATATTTCATTCATTATTATATTCATATGGGTTTATCTTATATACTATAAATAAATAAATATATACATATATATAGGCCTATATATATATATATATAATGTTATGATATGTGCTAGTTTTAGTGGATAATGGCTCTTGAATGCCCGCCGAAGCAAATAAATTTTGAATTAAATTGACTTGGATTGGATTAAATTGAATTCGGTTACAGAAAATACGAAAGTTCGTAAATGTTGTAACATTTGGCGTTTGCTGGCTCCATGTGACGTCATTTGTCACCGTTCACGCGAAAATTCGGTGTAAAAGAATAGGCGTTTTAGAGGCGGCTAAGTATACACTGTATTTATAAATGTTGACAGAGTACAGTATTATAAATGTTAAAATAATTGTGTGTATGTTTAGTCGAAAAACGTGACAACGTACAAAGTGTATTAAGTACTTTAAAATACCAATACAGTATAACTTATAAGCTTTGTGTTTTATCTGTCAACTTGGCTTATTGTTACATTAGCCGAATCTTATATTCCGTCACACTTTCTCTTCAAAAAGGCCGCTGCAAGCAAAATCCTAAAGAATGGTAACATTGTAATTCATACATCTTATCAAATGCCAGCTGTTAAAATGTGAATGTTACTAGAGAGAGTCAAACTTCTATCGGATAATGGTACACTAGTGAGTTTTGTATGCAAAACTCGAAGCGTGTTTTTATCCAAATAACTATGGGCATTAATTAGCTTTGTTTATTACTTCTGCCTGTTTATACATTGACCATACAACTCCATGTATCTGATATATTGTACATAGTTGTAAATGTACTATACACACACACACACACACACACACACACACACATACATACACACCCATATATATATATATATATATATATATATATATATTTATATATA